TATTTCTCTTTGAAAAAAAAACATGGATCACAGATTATAAGAACCTCTTGGAGTCAATCCCACATTATCAAAACCAAACAGGACGTGAAACAAACGTAAACACAGAAAGATAAGTTGTTTACAGAAGGTGAAGCTGTTAAAAATTAACGTTGCTGTAAACGTGGAGTCGGAACGACGCGGCGATACAAGGAAGCGTTGGAGCCAACTTTACTTGTCTGTTGCAAAATCTCTGATTGGACGGAGTTTAATGAAACTATCAGAGTAATTATTGGATGTTTACCTGAGTCAGTTCAAGATGGCCGCCACAGCTGATTGACATTTGCCAAAAGAAGAAATGATTAAAATCCTGTTTGTCTTCTTGTGATCATCTGTTAATTTAAAAACATCTCCACATGTGGCTTTTTCTCTCTTTCTTAGTGATTTTGCAACAATGTTAGTTAAACGTTAGTGAAATAAAAGTTGTTCAGCCAAAACATCTTTATTTACCTATCAGAAGCAGGATATTATCCAGCTGAGGGAAGTCCATCTGTTACCTACAGGGAGAAGATTCACAGGCAGGTTGCTCCGGTCCTTTACATCCTAAATGAAAAACACTGTCAGCATTTTTTAACTTCTATTATGTTTGCAGAATCTTTCAAAGAAGGGCACATCGTAACCAAAACTTGAATCATTTGGATGTTGAAGACTYGTTGGAGAACCTGACTGTGGAACAGGATGATGAGACTTTTGAACCACCTGATGATTGGATGTGTGAAGTAAAGGAGAGCAGCAGAGAGGAAGCAGGGGTTAGAACAGCTGCTCCTGCAGAAACAGAACAGAGCTGTGTTTCATCACGACTGAAACCGTGTTTCTAAACATCCTGTTTGTCTGTGCAAATGATAAAAAAGCAGCAGAATGCATCGCCTGTGTGAGGAACRTGAGCTGCTTCCTCTTCCTGCTGCTGCTAGTGTTTAGTGAGYGGGTTAATGTTTGCAGAAACATTTCTAAGGAACACAAGTGGGTTTTAAAAAGTTACTTATAATCAATAAAACAATAAAACATCAATAAAATATCAATTCCGTTTTTATGATCCACTTCCACAGAAATTGCATCTTTGCATTTCCAACTAAAAGCTGTTGAACTGGAGCCAAACGTAAGGAGTGAGCAGATAGAAAYGTGTAACCCCGTAGCTGACCTCATGCCAAACTTTGCTCTTCATTCTCAAGGCAAAAACAAAATCAAAGTTTTCATACATCAACCTTGTACAGAGATCAACTCGTAACTTTATGTGTTCCTGTTTTTGCAGGAGCTCAGSTTGTAACAGAACTTTCCTCAGACAGATGCAGGAGTACAGACTGTAACATGTCAGCAGGGAGGATCAGCTCCTTGTTCAAAAAGCAGAAATCACACTGTGCTTACATAACACAGCTTATAAGTGTAAAAGAAATAATAAAATTAGGAGGGAAAAGGATGAAAATTGAGTGCAAAAGAAATGAAAAATTAAAAAGATTTCTTTAAACACACAAAAAATACTAAATAAATATAAAATATCAACAAAAAAAGGGCTTGCAGCTTCATCTGATTTCCTGGTCTCTGTCTCCATCTAGTGTTGAAGTTTGAGTACTGCAGGAGATCTAAGAGAAAAAAAACTTTCAAATGAAATGGGCAGTTGCTATTTTAATTCACTGATTGTGTAAAACAGCTGAACATTTTATAAAATATA